TTGTAAGTGTAAGTTTTTTAGACGTTGAAAACCTGACCAAATTCTAACGTCGGTATGTAGTCAAAATTATGACGTCAGTCTGACCATGATTAACTGCTAATCCTGACCGAAATCTAACGTCTGTATATGGTCAAATTATGACGTCAGTCTGACCATGATTAACTGGTTACATGGACGTCGACAGGACGTCAGATTGTTGGTTGAATTTAGGTCAGAATATGGTTGAAAGTGAAAGTTATTTAGACGTCGAAAACCTGACCGAAATCTAACGTCCGAATATAGTCAAATTATGACGTCAGTCTGACCGTGATTTGACTGGTTATATAGACGTCGACAGGACGTCGCGGTTGAAGTTATTTAGACGTCAAAAAATGACCACATTATAACGTCTGAGTGAGGTCAAAATTGACGTCTATCTGACCGTCGTAATAACGTCCTTTCAACGTTCGGATTTCATGGTTGAAGTTAGGGTCAGTACATGGTTGCAAATGTAACTTTTTGTAGACGTTGAACACTGTTATTTAGGTTGTGTAAAAATCAAACGGTTATGTACTATATGAACCTAGCAACCTGTTGTGTAAACTGTTGTTTACACAACAGTGTAAAAATATTTCACAACTTGTTCAGTTTTTTACATAACTGGTGGATAGGTTCACATAGTACACAACCGAAATAACAGTGTTAAGTTTTCTAACTTTAGTTAATAGTCAAAATAGTGGCGTCAGTCTGACAGGTTTAAACAATGGCAATTAGACGCTTCAAATGTTCAATGTTGATGGGCCGATCAATTTTGACATCAGATTTCATTACCACAGTTCAACTTAATTTGGACATGAAATAAAAAAAGTAGACGTCGGTCTGAGCCTTTAAATCAAACACTAAATCACAACCATCACAGACATGATCTCTAATCTCTTTTGTGAATATTTGTGCAGGTATGGAATTAAGACATCAGGCGGTCGATGTTGATCCTGATGGTGCATGGTGCCACGTAAAGTAGGGCTTAGGTAGTGTATTCGTCTCCATCAACTGACCAAAGCAGAGAGCTGGAAAAGGGGGAAAAAATGAACAACATTTTCAATTTTCTTGAATACCAACACATTTTTAAAATAATGATAACTCGTAAATAATTAAAACAAAAGTTTAATTTTCAGAAATCCGAAATAAGTATTAAAAAAAGTTCTTATGAAGAAGACAAGTCGAAGCATAGGCCTATTTTAAGTCTAATGGGCAATTTCATGCGATTCTAAGAAACGAATATTACTGAAATTAATTAATGGAAATTTTATAATTGCAAGCACCGTAAATTTCTTAATAATTATAAAAAAATAATTAACATGTATTTAGCACTTCATACGCCGTGGTATTAACAAAACATGACATAGGCCTAGAGTACACAACAAAAGAAAAGTGGCATAATGTATCGTCATACGTGAACTCTGAACACTTATAAAACTAGACTGAAAACATATCTGTATCAAAATATCTGTAAAAAATAAAAGAGACATTCCGATCGTTTGAGTTTGGCCGGATGCGGAATATGTTGCGGTGCAGTTAAATTCACAATAAATTGATCATTCTAAATCTTCAATCAACACAGTACGTGCTGGAAACTCGTCTCATGTTGAGATATACTTTAAAATGACCTCATTTTTCCTAGGCCTTAATACAGATTGGACATGATGATGGAAAGCGGGCAGAACATGCATGACTGCTGATTAGTTAGGATTTTCTACTTCTTCAATGTTTAAATAAAGGGCACCGTTAGTGAAACTTTGTTTTTAAAATAAGAAATGACAATAGCATCCAACATGTCTAGTCTTACATTAACAACTTTCTACAGTGAAGTTAAGGTACTTTCCATGGAATTTTAATGTTTCAACTGACATGACTGCATGATAGGGAACATAATATAGATATAATAGAGATACAATTTCCAAACTATTGACCTTCAAAGAATTGCAAATCTCTAACTCGGAAACATTCGCGTTTGAAACTTACCATTTTCAGACATTGCAAAATCAGATCATCTTGATTGCGGTTCAATCGAAATCTTGACTTGTGCTTGTCCTATACATCTTGATGTCGTATCTTGACTTGAAGTTAAGATCAGGGGTGGGAACATCTCCAATGTTAACAGTACTCCATCGCAGAACCAAATCTTGACAATATTGTTGAAAGGTACACAAAACTTGTTCATTTTGGGCCAATATGTCTCTTCCCAAAGCTGCTTCAGTTGTGACTGTTGTTTTAACGGATATTCAAACTGGCCAGACTCGTACAGCAGTGGAGGTCGTTGGAATGCAAGAGGTCACACACAGGGCATACATATGCTTACGTGTAATACGTTTGGGCTATACGGTTTTCGCGCGCGCGGCACTTGGCTCTGGGCCAAGACAATTATAATTGGCGCGCGCCGCAGCTAAGTGAAAAAGTCGTCAAAACGGGCGATATATTTTGGTTGAAACAATGATGATAACGACAGGACATCAATTTTATAACCATCAGCTAGCTGACCACAACTTAGCCTTTTTTTTAGTCGTTCAAATTAATAAGGCGTCCGATAATTTCGTTTAGGAATTACGACGTTGCACATGAATTCGTTAATGACTTTTTTTTATTTTATTAAGTGAAAAACGGACGTTATATTTTGGTCGAAACCATAACACACTATCGACGTAATGTAAATAACCAACAGCCGACCACAATTCAACGTCATTTTTGAGTTGCTGAAAAGACCGTCAGAAAACGGACGTTATATTTTGGGTAAAACCATGACATAACGATATTGTAACCATCCACTGACCAGAAATCAACGTCGTTAATTGATTCGTTGAAATGACGTTAGAAAACAGACGTTATATCATGGTTGAAAACATGACCTAATAACGACGTCAAATATTATAACCAGCAGCCGACCGGCAATTCAACGTCGCTTTTTAAGATGTTCAAATGACGTCAGATAATGGACGTTGTATTTTGGATGAAAGCATGACATAAGTACGACGTCAGTTATTATAACCAACTGCCAACCACAATACAACGTCGATTTTGAGTCATTTGAACGACGTTAGAAAACGAACGTAATATCATGGTTGAAAACATGACTTAATAACGACGTCAAATATTATAACCAGCGGCCGACCATAATCCAACGTCACTTTTTGAGTCGTTGAAAAAAAAAGTAAAAAACGGACGTTATATTTTGGGTAAAAGCATGACATAATAACGACGTCATGTAAAATAACCAGCAGCCGACCACAATACAACGTCATTTTTGAGTCGCTGAAAAGACGTCAGAGAACGGACGTTATATTTTAGGTAAAGCCGTGACTTAATAATGACGTTAAATATTTTAACCATCAAACGACCAGAAGTCAACGTCGTTATTTGATTCGTTGACACGACGTTAGAAAACGGACGTAAAATCATGGTTAAAAACATGACCAAATAACGACGTCATATATTATAACCAGCAGCCGACCATAATTCAACGTCACATTTTGAGTCGTTGAAAAAACGTCAAAAACGGACGTTGTATTTTAGTTAAAAGCGTGACATAAGTACGACGTCGGATATTATAACCAACTGCCAACCACAATTCAACGTCGTTTTTTGAGTTGTTGAAACGACGTTAGAAAGCAAACGTCATATCTTGGTTGAAAATATGACAGAATTGCGACGTCGCGAAAGGAAACACAAAAATAACAATAATACAACGTTGTTTTTCAGGCCGTTGTAAAGACGTTGACAAAACAACGTCATACCATGGTTGAAATTACGTTTGGTAATATTCCCGACCAAATTCCAACTTACATTTCGACGTTGTTGTTATGTAAAATTCTGACGTTAAATTGTCGACACTAAAGCAACGTCCGGCAGACGTTATAATGACAACGTCGTCTTTTGGTCGACTAAAACAACGTTAATTTTCGGTTATGTATGGTTGATCCGACGTTGCGACCATAATACAACCATAATACAACGTCAGTCTGACGGTCGGTGCCTGCTGGGGTAGAATAACACTTAAAATACACTTATTTTGAACTATTTAGACTTGGGTCATGAAAAAGTGGCATTTGGAATATTAAATACGATAAATAGCGGCAAATAGGGTATGCAAAGTTTATTGACTTCTTAAGGGGCACCATGGGTCAAATATAAAAGTTCACGCATCTGAAAATTCTGTTCATGTCACGAAGAGCCAACTTTTAGACTTGGGTCATAATAAAGTGGGGTTTTGAATAGTAATCTTATAAATATCTATAAATAGGGCATACAAAGTTCATTGACCTCTTGAAGGTCACCAGAGGTCAAATATAAAATGCCCTTACATGAAAATGCTTTTCATAGCATGAACACCTAACTTTTAGAGTTGGTTCTTGAACAAGTTGGGGTTTAAAGTGTAAATCTTATAAATAACTATAAATACTGTACTAAATACTGTATAAATACTATAAATACTGTATACTCATTGACCTCTGAAAGGTCACCGGAGGTCAAGTACGATTTTGTTTGTCATCTGATCATTATTTCCATTGCCTGAAGACCTTTGACATAGACTGAGGTCATAGGGAGGAGGTGTTTTCAAGAACAATTATTATAATTAGTGTATGTAAAGGTCATAGACCTCTCAAAGGTCACCAGAGGTCAAATATGAAATGTCTCCGAATCTGAAAGTTTTCTTCATGGCATGAAGAACCAACATGCGAAGTTTCATGCTTTAGTCACAAAGTACACAAATGTATCACATATTTGACCTTAACAGCCCCACTATAGCTACAATCAAGAGCCAACACGACGGTCGTATTTGATAAGCTGTTTTACAAAGGACTGGACTGTTTGCACCATTTGCCAATATAATGTAAAACGCTTTCTGATAGCTTCCGACCCCCGTATTATTAACATAAATAAATCATAGGTTATAAATTTTAACAAAACTCACAAGTGCCGTCCTTTTTTTTTTTTTTTAATATGCAGGTATCTATTTGTATTGATATTTATTTGATGTTGTTAAATCCTACTGTTACGTTTTTACTCAAACGGTTTCGCTGTAGATCATTATTCATGAAAGCACTGCTCTTTCTAGCCATGTAATCTCTTAGCATGGGTACCCATCTTTGATCCAATCTGATATAATCTCGACACTTCTCACTAGCATTTTGTGGGAGGGCGTATTGACTTAGCTTTTGTGACCGGGTAAAGGACATGGTTGCATTGGTGAGACATTGTTCGTTAACGGCAGCATTTATTTGCCGAAATGTTTCCAAATCATCCTGGAAGCCGGGCCCGTAAGCGTGGATTTTGTCCCACAGGGTCCTGTTAAAATGCCGGTAGAGTTTCACGTCAGCGTGGTTCAACTTGTAGATCTTCTCCATTAGGTCACTAGAGAGGTTTTTCCGAGCGGAGGACTTCCTGACGAGTTGTGAAACGTAGGTGATGTCGTCAAAATCCCAGCACAGCATCTCCTTGAGAAGAATCAAAGACTCGTCAAAGTATTCTGTAATCATGACCAAGTCCATTTCATGACTTAGTGCTTCGAACGTTTCACCAACGGTTTTATTATCTTGAGTTTCCTGGTCCAACCCCAGATCAAACATCTGTCCGTTCCTCATGAAAGGGAAAAAGTGCTTTACCTTGGTCGAAAACCATTTCGGGGGTATCTGGAACATGTCTGTCATGGCATGCTTAGGCATGCGTTTGTCCATATGGTAGAAGTTGAAGGCGGATTCAAACTGCGAAGCAGGCTCTCTGATGATGGTGAAGTAAAAGGCGTTAGGAATCAGGGCATCCTGTTCAGATCGATTATATCGTGCGTGGTTCGCTAGAATGTGGAAGCCTCCCAAAGCTGGCCATACCAAGTTACCCTTGGCGTCCTTGAGATCATACTGAAACACACGTGAGGCTTGAAACTTGACAAACTCGTAGAAGACGTGTCTTTTGGTCGGTAAGGCAAAGTTGAGGTTGTTTTTGTACCCGTAGCGCTGTAGCATGGTGGTGACGGTGGAGCTGCCAGTTTTGTGCGTCTTGACGAACACAATGCGTTGTTTTGGTTCGCAACGCACAGCACTTGATGATCTCTCAGTGCCCATCCAGGAATGCCATCTATTAAAAACAATAAAGACGAATTGACTTCAATTTGACAACAATTAATATTAATGATGGAGATGAATTTTCAGAGAATATATTGCACTTCTTCATGTAGCAATCGCGATTTCTTGATCGAGTTTTGGTAGACGGTATAGTTAACCAGATAGCCGATTCGTCGGTCACCAATGCCGGCCTTTTTTTGGAGTTTGGTGTCGAAATCTTGAATTCGTCTTCCAACTTGACTTAATCAATGAAAACATTAGCCTCGTATAAATATTTGGATCCAATGTTCCTGAAGCTGAAAATGCTACAGATCCCTCGCAATTTAGCCATCTATGAGGTATGTAATTTTGTGCCACAGGGACTTATTATAAGAAGGGCAATTTGTGCATTTCTTGTCTAAACTATAAAAAAAAATACATCTATAAAGTAGAAAGGAGGGCCGGCACCAGACCATAACCCCCCAATATCTCTCGTCTTAAAGATTCCTCTCTGTCTCTGAGTTGTTAATATTATAAGTGGCGGGTACTAGACAAAATGTTTCCGTCTTGTAGGGGCCGGCACCAGACCAAACCCCCAATATCTCTCTCAATATTAAATTTAAAACTCTCTATAAATAAAAGGAATACGTATGGAAAAAAAAAGATCGATCCCAGCAGGCTATTAAAAATACCCAGATCTATCAAGAGTGAGAGAAAAGAGGTGTTCATCACCCACAATCCTAGTAGTATATCGGCGGGACAAACGCTGAGGGTCAAGTTTCCTCAGTTGGGCGTAGACGACGTGATCGTCCCGGCACTTGTAAAGTAGCTTTCAATTTAGAACTCGACAGTGGAAGCGACAACAATAGAAACTTTTTTGGCAATTGGCGGTGGATTATAGCTGCATTGAAGAGTTCGATAATCAAAAAAATATAGCAATCTTTGAACGAGAAAATTATACTCGTCGAGACTATATTCAGGCTATAAGGGCTGAAGCGAGTAAATATAAAAACTTGACTAAAAAGACACTAGATGAACTCAAACTAATTGTAGACGAACAACATCTAGAATACGTACCGACGGGTTATTAAGGTCGTTTTTTTAAAAAGGATTTCATCTCAGCGATCAAGAGATTTAAATCTCCCGAAAATTTTCAAGAGGCCAACTTCAGAGGTACGAGATGGTTTAGAAATAACTTTTGAAACTGGGAACTGATTCCGAGACAGTTTAATAATGACGTTGAACTGTTTTTTCGCACCCACGCGCGGCAGATCGAAAGCAAAGTCGTATCAGAACTGAAAAAACTCAATAACATGAAGCTTCAGATTCCGATAACAGTGAGATACGTTAAAAATGTACCTGATAGAGAACGGGTGACTGCTGAACTTACCTTTATCAGTAACAATATGGTTACTTTGAGGGGAGTCGGGTAAAGCAAATTCTCAAAGAAGCGATCGATCAAATAAAAAAAAAACACGCGAGTCATACAAATCGAGGATCAGGTTGGGTATTCGATAAAATACTCGCGTTTTACATTAACGTAAACCGTTATGCTCAAGCGGGAGGTGGTTCTTACATAGAGCTACCCGACTATCTCAAAAATAAAAAGGCGATTATCAACGTACACAACAAAGACAACGAATGTTTGAGATGGTGTTTGAGAGCCGCTCTTGGTAAATATACGGACAAAGTAAAAAAGCGAATCGCAAACAACCCAAAATATAAGGTCAACGAAGAGAGAACTACGATATACAACACGAACGATGGATTAAAATTTAAAAATATAGACTTTCAAATGTCTAGGGTAGAAAGACACAATAATATATCGATAAACGTTTTTGGTTGTACTGAGCAAGATAATATACATGTATTGGCATTATCTAAAAACGCAGATCCTTCCGTTGAGGCTATCGATCGGTTGTTGTTTTCCGACGGTGATAAGAGTCACCACTGTTGGATAAAACAATTTTCTAGATTATTTTATACCGTAACGGCAGATCAACATCAGAAATATTTCTGTCGAAGATGTCTGTCACACTACAGAACGCAAGAAAAACTAGACAGACACAAACAAGATTGTGAGGGAATAGACAAGCCTCCGTCTAAAATCGTTTTTCCCGAGAACAACATATTAAAATTTAAAAACCACAGATTTGCACAGGACGCACCATTTGTCATTTACGCCGACTTTGAATCGGTACTAGAAAAAAATCCGCACGATAAAAAAGGAAAACATGCAAAAGACAAACATTCACAAAGCAAGTGCTTATTCGTTGGTAGTCGTTAGATGTGATGGCAAAATATGTATCGAGAAACTTACAGGGGCAAAGACGCCACAACTAAGTTTGTAAAGAAGATGTTACAATTACAACGTGATATCAATTGCATATTTGACTATCCCATACCCATGGAATTTACTGAGCGAGATAAAAAAGATCATGGACAAACAAATGCGTGTTGCATTTGCGAAAAACAATTTATCCCAATTACTCGAGCAACTGTCAGTGCCAGAAACCTAAAGAACCCAAGACGACAAAACAAATAAAAGAATATCAGTTCGAAAATAGTAAGGGATTTATTGAGTCTAAATGTCTCGACTGCAAAAAGAAGATTAACAAATTTAGAAAGGTGAGAGATCACTGCCACGTCACTGGTAAATATAGAGGCACCGCGCACGCTTACTGTAACACCAAGCTACGAGTTAAATCTGGTTGTACTCCGATACCGGTCGTCTTACACAATTTACAAAATTACGACGCGCATTAATATGCAAGGCATTTCTGTTTGCAAAGGTAAATTAAATCGTTTACCCAGAATTTCAGAAAAGTACATTTCGTTTTCAATCGGAAATCTACGATGATGTATAGACTCGTTCGATTTTATGGCGTCATCGCTTGACAACTTCGTCAAAGCTTGTCCAAAAGAGATAGAACTCGAACTATTGCAAGACGTAGACAAACATTTATTTTTTGAGAGAGCGAAACGAGGAGGCATGTCGCGCGTCGGTAGCGCGAGATACCACAAGGCAAACAATAAATATCTGCCCAACCACGATCCGCATAAACCAACGAGTTACGTGACGTATCTAGGCGCTAATAACCTATACGTTTGGGCTATGAGTCAGTACCTACCGTACACATATTTTAAGTGATTAAAGCCTAAGGAATTTAATACAGAGTATATCATGTCGATCGAGGAAACGTCAGAAACGGGCTATTTTGAGAGGTAGACCTAGATTATCCAGCTACTCTTCACGATTGGCACAACGATTAGTGGGGCTGTTAAGGTCAAATATGTGATACAATTGTGTACTTTGTGACGAAAGCATGAAACTTCGCATGTTGGTTCTTCATGCCATGAAAAAAAAACATTTCATATTTGACCTCTGGTGACCTTTGAGAGGTCTATGACTTTTACAGATACTATTCATAATAATTGTTCTTGAAAACACCTCTTCCCTATGACCCCAGGCTTTGTCAAAGGTCTTCAGGCAATGGAAATAATAATCAGATATCAAAAAAAAATCATACTTGACCTCCAGTGACCTTTCAAAGGTCAATGACCTATACAGTATTTATGGTTATTTATAGGATTTACACTTTAAACGCCAACTTTTTCAAGAACCAACTCTAAAAGTTAGGTGTTCATGCTATGAAAAGCATTTTCATATGAAGGGCATTTCATATTTGACCTCTGGTGACCTTCAAGAGGTCAATGAACTTTGTATGCCCTATTTATAGATATTTATAAGATTTACTATTCAAAACCCCACTTTTTTTGTGACCCAAGTCTAAAGGTTGGCTCTTCGTGACATGAACAGAATTTTCAGATGCGTGAACACTCATATTTGACCCATGGTGACCTTTAAGAGGTCAATAAACTTTGCAAACCCTATTTGCCGCTATTTATCATATTTAATATTCCAAATGCCACTTTTTATAACCCAAGTCTAAATAGTTCAAAATAAGTGTATTTAAAATATTATTCTACAGCATGTCATGAATTCAGACCCCAAGGACAATTTTATTATGACCTCTGATTTCCTTTACCCTTTTTGAAGGGTAGACAGGGGCGCACAACAGAATACAAGATACATTGGACAGGAATCACACTCTAACATTGGCCAGTGGGCCTGGTAAAAAGGTTAAAAATGTGGTGACCCATGTCCATCTAGATACCACAGAGTGTAATAAGTACACAAGAGTGACTATTGTTAGACATTTGTTCATATTACATTGTAAAGAAAGTCCAACAGTCTTCTTTCCAATTTTTTTGTGGGATTTTTTTTGTCACCCCAATTTTTTTGTGGGATTTGAATTCATTACATGACTTTAAAAAAAAAGGCGTCACAAAAAAAGGCGTTTTGAAAAAAAAAAAATAGCGAAAAAAAAGTATATAAAGTTCATTGACCGATTTAAGGGTACGGTCATATATGATGTCACCATATCTGAAAATCCTTTTATGTCACAAAGAGCCAACTTTTAGACTTGGGTCATGAAATAGTTGGTTTTGTGAATAACAAATCTTGTAAATATCTATAAATAGGGCATACAAAGTTTATTGACCTCTTGAAGGTCACCAGAGGTCAAATATGAAATTTATCCACATCTGAAAATTTTCTTCATGGGATGAAGAACCAACATGCGAAGTGTCATGCTTTATTTAGTCACAAAGTGCACAATCATGTCACTCAACAGGCCCGCTAGATTACCCGCTAGCACCGGAAAACACAGTCATACCCGAGACCGACCTGTCGGAGTATCAACGAAATCTGTTGTCGGCAGAGCCTAGTAGCAAAGTACCCAAATTAACCTGCACGCTAAAACCCAAACGCAAGTACGTTTTGCACTACGTCACGTTACAGCTTGATATCGAGCTCGGATTAAAACTCAAAAAGTACATCGCGTTTTAGGGTTTAAACAGAAGCTTTGCATGAAGTCGTACATCGATAAAACCACTTAACTCAGAACTAAGCGACCTTTAACTTTGAAAAAGATTTTGTTTTAACTCATGAATAATGG